CCTGGAGCACAGTTGAGGTGCTCACCTGGAGCCTTGGTTTGGCATCTTTTTTTTTTTTTTTCTTTTTTTGACAGCGTCTCACTCTGTCACCCAGGCTGGAGTGCAGTGGTGCAATCTCGGTTCACTGCAACGTCCGCTTCCCAGGTTCAAGCGATTCTCCTGCCTCAGCCTCCTGAGTAGCTGGGACTACAGGCAACTGCCACCATGACTGGCTAATTTTTCTATTTTTAATAGAGATGGGGGTTTCACCATGTTGACCGGGCTGGTCTTGAACTCCTGACCTCAAGTGACCCATCCGCCTCAGCCTCCCAAACCAAAGTGCTGGGATTACAGGCATGAGCCACCATGCCTGGCCTTTGATTTGGCATTTCTTAGGTACAATATGAAAGTGGCCACCTGGGCCATCCCCTTCCCCGATCCCTGTCGCCATCTGGCTGGCCTGTGAGACCTTGGAAGTTACTCTGCAGGGAGACAGACATGCTCATTCCTAGAACATCGCAGGGAAGGGGGTGTTTGTAGCAGGAAGAGGAAATTTTGTTCTCTATACTTAGGCCCTTGGCACTCCTCAAACCCTCCTTCCTAAAATGGGCCCAAGGGTCACTGTCTGTCTGCCACTTCATTTGTCTGTTGGACTTTTAGTTGGTAAGCCACAGACAAGTCTTGCTTGGGAGGAGGTTGTTTAAAAGGTACCATGACAAACAGTCACTTAACACCACTGCACCTCTGTTTCCTCACTTGCAAACATGGGTGGGAGGTAATAACAGTACTTACCTGTGGAGATCTGGTCAAAATTAAATTCATACATTGGTATGTGTCATGAGAACGTGGATGTAGTTGTAGTTATAGGTGACAGAGACAGACTTACCTTTCCTGAGCTGCCTTTATGTCCGGGCCCTGTACTAGGCCCTGGGCACATGTGGACCCCATGACCCCACACTGCCCTCTGGGAGCCACGTCCTGGTTGGGGGAGACACGCGTTAGCCTCAGCTTCGGTGCCTCAGTGTGATCAGGGCTGGGAATGCTGAGTGAGTGCAGGGAGGAGCCCTAACTTTGCCTTGGGGGTCAGGGAGGGCAGAAGGGTGTGAGCCAGGCAGGAGAGGGAGGGGCGCCGTTCAAGTGGAGGGGGCAGAGCTGCACGTGCTCCAGTCTGGGTCAGAGATGAGGCTAGACATTCAGGGCTAGGGGGTTTTCCTTTGAGCTCAGATCTACCGCCTCCTCCCAGGCCCAGGGCCCCTGACAGGCCCTGCTGCAGCCTGGCGCTGGCCCCACACCCGACAAGGCCCAAGGTCAGTGCTGCTACCTTCACCCTGGCAGGGGCAAGGAGCAGCTTTTCATCTAGTTCGGCTTCCTACACTTGAAAAATGAAAGCTCTCCCTCTCCTCCTCACCCAGGCATACATATTTCACACGGTCATTAGGCGGTGGCACTGAAGGACTCACAAATCTTCCCTGGTCAGCATCGGCAGCCTGGGCGGGCAGTGAGAGGCCCTGGGGACAAGGGTCACCGTGGGAGCCATGGCTGTGCCCAGTCCAACGTGGGCAGGGGAGGGCAAGCCTTGCAAGGGTTGGGGGTGTGAAGCCAGCTTCTGCTCTAAGACAGTCCAGTCCTGTCTCCTGGGGCTCATCACCTAATTTCCCTGGGCCTCAGCTGCTCCAGGCCCCAGGGTGAAGGGGATGGGATGCAGGCACCTCACACATCCTTCCTGTCCTGACAATCCAGAGCAATTTTGTGGGGCACCCAGATCTGAAGGGCTCATCCCCAGCGCTCAGATGTGACCTTCTCCAGGGGCAGCACGCCCCCCATGACCCAGGCCCCTCCCTTCCTGCACACCCGACTTTCTGCTTCTCAGCTGCTGTCCTCCGCCTCCTAGCCTGCTGTCTCTCCTCTACTTCCCTTTCCCTTTTCCTTCTGCCATTTGCTTCTCTTCTTTCCCCTTTCTTCTGAGTCCTGCCTTCTTTATCTTCACCCCAGTCTCTCTGCCCCTTCCCTATTTTCTCTGCACCACCCCCTTCTTATTCATTTTTCAGGCATTTAAGAAGCATCTACTGCATGCCAGGCACCGTCTGTGCTGCGCAGTGAGCACCACAGGTGCCTTCTCTGCCCTCGTCCTTCCCCAAACCCTTTTCCTTTGACAAAGGCAAATGATGGGGGCCAAGGAGGTATGGTTTGGTCACACAGTGACCTGGAACTGAGGTCTTCACCACAGTGACCCCTCGCCAAGGGGCTCAATGCATGGCAGTCACATCTTCCCGAGACCAAGCTACAGTTATAACAGTCCAACAAGACCATGCATTGATGACCGTGATTGTCAGTGGAACCTGGGGGAGGGAAGGGCTCTGGGATTCCTCCTGCTCCCCTTCTCCTCCGTCCCTGTAAAGTGAGGATGAATCTGGGGTTGCTTTGGGCAGTGTGGTCTCCTCTTGCCTGGAATAACCAGGCTCCCTTCCTTCTGAGAACAAGCACCCCTCTTGGCTCAGAGGAAATAACTGATGAAGGGCAAGGGCATGGCTAGATGGCACAGGATTCAAATCCAGCACTGTTCTTTCTCTAGCTGTGAAGCCTTGAGTGAACGATGTACTGTCTTGATGCCTCAGTTTCCCCATCTGTAAATTGGAGGTGGTGCTGATAATAGTACCTACCTACAGGGCTGTTGTGAGGGTGAAGGGGTTGTAGGTAAAAGGCATTCAGGAGCCAGCAGTGGCTGCTGCCATCGTGAGGAATGGTGCAGGCAGTGGGAGAGGCCCCGTCTGGGAGCCAGTCCTGGGTTGGAGGGTGGTGACATGGCTCAGTGCCTTCCTTTCACTTGTTCAGCACGCACCCCCAGAGAATCTGTGAGGAGCTCTGAGCCTGGGTGTGGTGGTGGTGGGGACAGAGGTCTGCACAGTCTGTAGGAGCATAAGCTGTGGGGATATTGAATGGAAATTCAGCACAAGAGGCAGTCCTATACAAGCTGGCAGCCCAGAGCCCTCAGAAATGGCATCTTTCTGTATAGCCAAGTGTTCTGGATAACTAAGATCTTAACCCTTTGGGTATAAACTTTTTTTCATTTCATTCATTTGGGATAGAAATATATTTTTCACTTATCTGCCTTCCTGAACTGAATATACTAAACACAAATTAGCTTTTCCTTGAAAATTCAGGCTTATCATAAAGAACATAGAATTTACTGGATTTCATAGAATCCAGGAACTTTGAAAGGAACCTCAAAAAATATTGAGCACAAAGGGATCAAAACATATTTTTAGCCGTGAGGGCTTTATCCACCTACAATCTTATAGAGATACCTTAAATACAAAACAGATGCAAGTGGACCCCAAAGTCAGTCTGAGGCCTTTCCCTACGGGCATCTGGTGGCAGGCAGCAGTTTGCCCCGCTCTAGGGCAGTGGCCTGGGAAGAGAGCAGAGGGCACATCTAGAACAGCGCCTTGCATGGATTATATGTTTCGTAAGTAACTATTGAATGAACAAATGATGTCATTTAGCCTGCACTGTGGATTAAAACCATGTCAGGGACAATATAGAAGCCAATGTTCCCAGTCACGAAAGCCAAACCCCTACTAGAACTTCAGGTCAGGGGAGATGGAGGAGGCCTCACTGGGATGGCCACAGAGAAGGAACACCAGGTGGGGGTGGAGAGGCCAGTTTCTGTCCTTCTGCTTCTGACCTGCTCCTAAGCCAGACTGGCAGCAGGCTTTCACCAGGCCTCACTGAGGTCTGAGCCTCCACTGTGTGACCTGTGAGACAGATGGAAATGTCTGTCTCCCTACCACATGGACAGCTGTGAGGGGAAACGAAGCCATAGTAAACCTGGATGTTCTTTGAAAATGTAAAAGGTATGACAGCCATGCAGGCTGCCACCATCATTGTCCTTGTCATCAGCATAAGGCTGGCCTCTCTCCTGTCTATCTCTTTTGACCATAAGTGATGCCAGCCTGGACCAGCCCAGTTAAAAGAGGTCTCAATTAGCCAGGCACAGCGGCTGATCCCTGTAGTCCGAGCTACTCAGGAGGCCACAGTGGGAGGATCCCTTGAGCCCAGCAGTTGGAGGCCAACCTGGGCAACATAGAGAGACCCGTTTCTAAAAAAAAAAAAAAAGAGAGAGAGAGCAATCTCAGTGAACTCACAAACCAAATCAAGGGTGAGGAAGGGATGTCAGATCAGATTCAGGATTCTAAGACTACCAGAATTTGGCTTTCTCTTCTCCTAGCTCGCCTGAGCTCTGGGTGCATCTTCATCCTCCCCAAACGTGCAGCAGGTCTCAGTTCATGTCTCCCGTGCCTAACTCTCTGGAGGAAAGCTTTTATCCCCAGCAACACAATAGGAAGAGTCCCCAGAGGATTCTGATGGACCCAGCTGTGGTCAAGGGCCATTCCCAGGCCAGTCCCTGTGGTCAGGGACAGGCAGGCAGTTCCCAGTCAGGCCTTTTGTGCAAGCAGAGGGAGGAGCCAGAGGAGACGAAGGCCACTGGGCAGATAGGCCTGCCCTATGCATGCAATGGATTTGAAAGAATTTCCAGGGTCAAAGAAGGGAGGGACCAGAGGGCTTCACCCAGTGGCTAGTACATCTGACTTGGAGGCTTTAAGGACTGTGAGAGAAAAACCAGAAGAACCCACCAGATGGCTGACACCCACCTTCGTTTGTGGTACTCTCAAAACCACAGGCTGTGATCCCAGGCCACGGGTCCAGGGTCTGTCTCCCAAGCTCTTGGAGCATCTGCAGAGAAGAAGCTTGCCCGGCCTGGAGGGGGCATGAACCCCCGTGAGCCCAGGAGGGGTGGTTTCACTCAGTTAGAGATGCCTGGTAGACCAGTCCTGTAGAACTGCACCTTCCAATATAAATTTAAACAGCCAATAGCGGCCTGTGGCATCCTTACTGAACAGCATGGTTCTAGAATATTCCACCTGGGCCAAAGGAGACATGCGAGAGGAATATGGATTTCCTGTGGACCTGAAACCTCAGCTGGGTCTGGCAGTAATGACTTCTTGTACTCACCGTTGCAGGCAACAGATAATGATGCAGGCACCTTTGGGGAAGTCAACTATTTCTTCAGTGATGACCCAGACAGGTGAGACTCTACCCACAGTCCCTCAGGCCCCTCTGCAGTGGTCCTTGGCCCTCCCCAGACTCATGAGATCTGGGAACTTTTCAGTGCCCAGGGAGGGAGGTGCTGGGCCCTGTGGCTAGAGCACTGGACTGGAAGTTGGAGCCCATGGGCACTGTGGCTGGTTTGACCCTGATCGTGGCACAGCCTTGGTCAAGTCTCCTCAGCTCTCTGAGGCACAGCTTATGTGACCCTCAAAAGATAGCCTTTAGCTTTGGGAATGGATCCATTATGTCTGTGAGAGGCTTTGAAGTACTAGCGACTGCATACCACCACCACCACCACCGCCGCCAGCCGCAGCAATTACGTGTCAGGCTCATCATGGCCAAGGGCTTCACACGCATTGTCTCATGTCATCCTCTCAGTGAAATGACAGAGGAACTCAGTCCTAGGCACTTTTATCATCCCCACTTTACAGGTGAGGAAAGTGCAACACAGAGAGGCTAAGTCACTTGTCCAAAGTCACACAGCTGTAAGTGCCATGGTCAGGCTTCTGCACGTGACCTTCACCACTAGGCTACACAGCCTGCCCCAGGAGGGCTGTCAATGTGCAGCAGCCCATGGGAGGGTTACTCGCCTCCCTGCCTGACACATGCCAGCCTTGCCCCATCACTCCTCATGGTAACATGGTCTAGGCTTGGTTTGGGGCCTTGTCTTCAATTAGTCCAAGCCAAAGGGCAGCCTTCTCACTTTCTTTTTTTTTTTTTTTTGGAAACAGAGTCTCGCTCTGTTGCCCAGACTGGAGTTTTATGGCAAGATATTGGCTCACTGCAACCTCCGCCTCCTAGGTTCAAGCAATTCTCCTGCCTCAGCCTCCTGAGTAGTTGGGATTACAGGCACCCACCACCACACCCAGCTAATTTTTGTATTTTTAGTAGAGATGGGATTTCACCATGTTGGCCAGGCTGGTCTCGAACTCCTGACCTCAGGTGATCCACCCACCTCGGCCTCCCAAGTGCTGAGATTACAGGCATGAGCCACTGCGCCCAGCCGCCTCTCACTTTTAACATGCTCAAAGGCCACGTGTCTGATGCACTGGGAAGCCCAGTGGAATGAGTGAGGCAGTGGGTGTCAACTTGAATGACTGACCCCGACTATCTGTGAGAAAGATCAAGAAAAGATGGGGAAGGAGCTGGATGCAGTGGCTCATGCCTGTAATCCCAGCAGTTTGGGAGGCTGAGGTGGGTGAATTACCTGAGGTCAGGAGTTCAAGACCAGCCTGGCCAACATGATGAAACCCTATCTCTACTAAAAATATAAAAATTAACCGGGCGTGGTGGCAGGTGCCTGTAGTCCCAGCTACTTGGGAGGCTGAGGCAGGAGACTGGTTTGAACCTAGGAGGCAGAGGTTGCAATGAGCTGAGATTACGCCACTGCACTCCAGCCTGGGCGACAGAGTGAAACCCTGTCTCAAAAAAGAAGAAGAGACAAGGAGATTGTTAGGGGCATCTGGCCATTCTCTGTCACTCAGTGATGGGGGCCTCAAATGGGAGGAAGGCACCAACATGGCTGAATGCACAGGGAATCCTTTCCCCAGGGGACCTGTGTTCATGTAGCCTTATCCTGGTCATCTTGGATGGTCTCACCTCTTCCCGTCTTCTGGGCCTGAGACTTTCCTCACTCTGAGCCAGAACCTTCCAGGCTTGGTGGTTGGCAGCTGTGGTCAGAGCACACAGATGTCAACTGACGTCTCAGATGAGGCTCCTAAGGGGACATTTAGAGGACGTAGTTGGAGGGGTTGTCTTGCCATACCTTTCTACTACCCAGGAGATGTCTACCAACCTCCCGCTCAAGGCTCATCTCCTCAAAGTCAAGGGGCAGCTCCCAAAAGAGGACCAACCACCCTGCCCTTCACCAGCTGCTTTCTGCCCATTCCTAGCATGCTGGTGCATCTAAATTTCTGCAATAGGTAGGAACTCCTGTTCACAGCAGGAGGGTTGTTCTGCCTGGTTTCCTCTTTGCTTAAATCAGGCGACTCCTCCTGCCCACCTCGTGTGATCCTGATCCCTGCCCCCACCCACCGCCTTTAGAAATAGCAGCTCTTCTCAGGGCAAGTGAAAGGGAAGGCAGATTTCAGACTTCATTTATTTCTGTTTGTCACTCTGGGCAAGGACAGGCTGGGAAATGCCGGCCCCATCAAGCCTGTTTTAAACCACGGTGTTCCTTCCCTCCATCCTCCCGGCCTGGCACAGATTCTCGCTGGACAAGGACACGGGACTCATCATGCTGATTGCCAGGCTGGACTATGAGCTCATCCAGCGCTTCACCCTGACGATCATTGCCCGGGACGGGGGCGGCGAGGAGACCACAGGCCGGGTCAGGATCAATGTGTTGGATGTCAACGACAATGTGCCCACCTTCCAGAAAGATGCTTATGTGGGTGCTCTGCGGGAGAACGAGCCTTCTGTCACACAGCTGGTGCGGCTCCGGGTAAGGTGCCAGGGAGCCCTGCACTCCTGCCATTCATCTTACCCTTCCCCCTGTACTTGCTTGCTTGCTTCTTTTTTGTTTTTTGTTTTTTTGAGACAGAGTCTCACTCTTTCACCCAGACTGGAGTGCAGTGGTACGATCAGAGTTCATTGCAGCCCCAAACTCCTGGGCTCAAGCAATCCTCCTGTCTCTGCCTCCTTAGCAGCTGGGACTACAGGCTTGAGCCACCGTGCCTAGCCTGTGCTTTCTTCTTGACCAACCCCTCGGGAACCCACTGCAAGAGGGGCTGACCTCCCATCCACAAAGAATGCTGCAGATTTGAGAGTCAAATTCTTGGTCTGTGTTGGGCCTTCTCTGAGCAACACCTCATGTCCTTGGTACCAAGTGGGGCTTTATATGTCTCAGCTTAAATATTAGGTCAGAATTAGCAAAAGATCCCCGTCCCCACCCATCCGCCGCCATCTCCCTTAGCAAGGGCATTGAGTGGGGAGGACTTCCTTGTGTCAGGACCCCCTTCAAACCCTTTAATGACTGACTAGAATCAGGAAGTGCTACAGCTGGAAGGAGCTACAGAAACCATGGAGTGCAACGCCATTTTACAGAAAGAGAACCCGGAGGGGAGACGCTTGCCCACGAAGACAGTTAGTAGAGTATCAGAGCCAGGTCTAGTCCTGGAATGCTATTCTCCAAGTGCTTCCTGCAACAAGTCCCCACTAGGCTTCAGTGACCTTTAACCAGAGACTTTTAAATGTCCCCCCTTCCCATGCTGCCTACCCAAAGGGATGGGACCCAGAACCTCCATTTGGAACTTGTTTTCGAAGCAGGCAGGGATGAAGGCAAGGCTGGAAGGGTGGGCACAGGGGATACCTAGGAGAACAGACCATGTGCCCGCCCAGGCTGTCCATGGCCCCCCATACAACCCTGTCCTGCCACGCCCTCCGTGCTCAGCTCCAGGTATATACCCCCAGTGATGGGGACCACTGGAGGCTCTAGAGTGAGGGATGACCTGGAAAGAAGCTCATTAATTCAGTGCCCAGAGAAGACAGCCAAGGGGAAGAGGGATCCCTGGCCCCACTCCAGGTGCCTTCCTTTCTCCTTGCTTTCATGCAATATGCGTGGATTAGACACCCACTGTGGCCAAACACTGGGTTGGCCTGTAGGTATGCAGCAGCAATCAAGAAACAAGGTTCCTGCTCACATGAAACTGATAGTCTAAGCGAGGGAGGCAGAAATTAGATAAGAAATTACCACTCGGCGTAAGGGGACCAGTGGGGTAAGGGGACCCAAGGCCCCTAACCGGGTCCGGGAGTCAGGGAAGGCGTCTGCAGGTGGGGGTGTTCCCGCTGGGGTTGGGGGTGGGAGGTAATTGTGTCTCAGCCTCTGGGAAGGCCAGGCCTCCACATTCTTCCTGGGCATCCTACCTGCCCTCTAGATTCCCCAGGCTGCCTCCACACACAGCACATGGAGGGGAGCAGGGAGTCTGCTGGAAGCCAGAGTGCGGCCTCTAGTTGAAGCACAAGGGGTGCCTCCCGGGTTCCTGGGCCAGGACAAGACCCAGGGCTGGATCACCCAATAAAGGAGCTGTCAGCAGGGCCAGCCTTCCCCTCCCTCCCAGCTGCCCACCCTCTTCTGGTCCTCAGCCTCCTGCAGGCTCACGGCTCTTGTCCGCCCTCTTCCTTCCAGGCAACAGATGAAGATTCCCCTCCCAACAACCAGATCACCTACAGCATTGTCAGTGCGTCTGCCTTTGGCAGCTACTTCGACATCAGCCTGTACGAGGGCTATGGAGGTAGGTGTGGGGCAGGACTCGGGGCCCAGCCAGGAGGAGGGCTGGGGGGCTCTCTGTACTCACACCTCCCTTGTGCGGGTGGGGCGGGCACCCCGTGTCTGCCTGACACCCTGGGCTACTCAGGAAGCTGCCCGGAGCACCTGGGGCTGGAGCGGGATGTGGCCTGAGTCGCCCTTCCGTAGGGTCAACATCTGTGTCTCTCCTCAGCGGGATGTGTCTCTGGTTCTCAGGCCATGGCCAGCCCTGCAATCGAGCCAGAAGAGTGATGGTAACAGAATCTCTGGGGCTCTCTGTTTCTTACCAAGGCTGCAGGCAGGTCTGTGGGATGGAAGCTCGTTAGCCAAGGCTCCCTACCCTTTGGGCGGCCCTGTGGGGCCAGGCACTCTGTACCATGCCCTGCTGCCTACTGTGGGTCCCCATCCCTGGAGCCCTGGCAGGAAATAGCAGCAGCAACCTCAAGCTCCAAGATCCCAAGAGAGACGACTTTGTTTTTCAGACGAGGCAGCTAAGGCCCAGAGACGGAGCAACTTGCCTGAGCTCACCCAACAAAGCTGCTGAGCTTGGCACCAAGTCCCTGTGTGGTCTGGCCCTTGGTTGCCTTGCGAGCCTCAACTCTCAGCAGCCCTTCCCCCACCAGAGTCCAGCCTCTTCGAACACTTTGACACTTGTCTCCCCTTACTGGTGTTCACTCCCATGTCTTTGCAAAGTGTGTTCCTTTTGCCAGGAAAGCACTACCTCCTTGCCCCTTGGTCCCGCGCCTCGCTTTGGCTGTCCAGTGTGTAGCCTCTGGCTAGCTTTAAGTGCTCATTTAACACTTCCTCCTTTGGGAAGCTTCTCTGATTCCTGGAGCCAGGGTTAGGTGCCCCCAGGGCAGAAGGGATCAATGTGCATTGAATGACTCTAGGTCCAGTGCTCACTCCTCCCACTGCCCCACAGTTTGTTCAGAGAAATGCCATTGTAGAAATTGCAGTTCTGACCAGAGAGGTGGCTCAGGCCTGTAATCCCAGCAGTTTGGGAGGCTGAGGCCAGTAGATCAATTGAGGTCAGGAGTTCGAGACCAGACTGGCCAACATGGCAAAACCCTGTCTCTACTAAAAATACAAAACGGCCAGGCGTGGTGGTGGGCACCTGTAATCCCAGCTACTTGGGAGGCTGAGGCAGGAGAATCACTTGAACCTGGGAGGCAGAGGTTGCAGTGAGCCCAGGTCGCGCCACTGCACTCCAGCCTGGTGACAGAGCAAGACTCCGTCTCAAAAAAAAAAAAAACAAAACAAAGAAAACAAATTGCATTATTTATGAAATCTACATCCATCTTTCTTTCTTTCTTTCTTTCTTTCTTTCTTTCTTTCTTTCTTTCTTTTCTTTCTTTTTTTTTTTTTTTTTTTTGACAGCGTTTTACACTGTCACCCAGGCTGGAGTGCAGTGGCTCTATCTCGGCTCATTGCAACCTCCACCTCTGCCTCCTGGGTTCGTATGATTCTCCTGCCTCAGCCTCCCGACTAGCTGGGATTATAGGCGTGCCACCACACCCAGCTAATTTTTGTATTTTTAGTAGAGATGGGATTTTGCTAATGCTGGCCAGGCTGGTCTTGAACTCCTGACCTCAAGCCATCTGGCCACCTCGGCCTCCCAAAGTGCTGGAATTACAGGTGTGAGCCACCGTCCCCGGCCCATCCCTCTTTCAAAAACTTAAAAGTTCCATGCTTCTGCCTGCCTCCATACCTCATCCTCCTCTCAAGTAGAAGAATCCCCCTTAGATTTTATATTACTAAAGCAATAATCTTGTTTCCCTTTTCCAAATAGAAAGGTGTAATTTAATATTGTTGTAATGCCTTCTAAGACCTCCCATGCCCCCTACTCCCAAGCCAATATGCCTTCCCTCCCCAGTTGAGAATCAATGGCTTAGCACAAACAAGTACTAATGGAGGGACTTCAGGCATGTGCAGTGGTGGGGATATTTCAGGGCAGGGGCATGTATCTTAGCTCCCTGCAAATCCTGCCTCTCAGCCTGGGTCTGCCTTTGGCGTTAGGGTTCTTCACCCACCTCTAAACAGAGTTCTGTTGAAGGTAAGGTCTGCAGCACCCAACCCTGAGTACCTCCCCATGAGGTCTAAACAGTGCCCAGAGTAGGTGACTGGATGGGCATGAAGAGCCCATAGCATAAAGTGGGGAGGAAATGGAGGGAAGAGAAGAGAGAGAGAGACGCCAGGGGCAGTTGGCTCACACCTGTAATCGTAGCACTTGGGGAGGCCAAGGCGGGAGGATTGCTTGAAGCAGAAGTTCGAGACCAGCCTAGGCAACACAGCCAGACTCTGCTTCTGCAAAGAAAACTTCATAAATAAAAATAAATAAAGGAGAAGGGAGGGAAGAAGATTAGAGAACTAGGGCTAGAGGAGACTGAGGAGGATCCTGCCTTCTGCACCCCACTGCCTGGTCCTCCCTGGCATCCCCAATGCTGGGCAACAACTGGGGAACTCTGTGCTTACCTGGAGAGAGGAGTAGTGACAGGGAGGGCTACAGGGCCCGAGGCATGACCCTGTCCTCCGAGCAGCTTCCAGACTGATGAGGGGAAATCCATAAAGTGCCGGATGAGTGAGTGAGACAGACAGACAGACAAGCAGGCAGGAGTGCCTACTAAGAAAGAGCCTGGGTTCTGGAGCTCATCTCCCCACTCTATTGAGTTGAGAGCTGTGTGACCTTGGGCAAGTTACTGAACGTCTCTGAACTTGGTTTCTTCATCTGTAAAAGTGGGGCTTACATTACCACCAAACCGGCTATCACCTCATGGGCTCCGCACAGGGTCCGACACACTTCAGGCAGTCAGGAAACCTCAGTCGAGATGGTGAGGCTCCAGGTGTTCAGAAAACAAGCCAGAGCTGGCCCGGGCCATGCCAGCCATACCTTCTTTGCCCAAAGGGGACCCCTGGCTGGACGGGCATCTCAAGTCTGCTTACAGAGGGATCTGGCCTGTTCCTGTCATTTCAGTGATCAGCGTCAGTCGCCCCCTGGATTATGAACAGATATCCAATGGGCTGATTTATCTGACAGTCATGGCCAAGGATGCTGGAAACCCCCCTCTCAACAGCACCGTCCCTGTCACCATCGAGGTATTTGTAAGTACCCAGGGCCTCTGGCCTTGCCCTTCCGGGAGCTGAGAGTCAGGTGAGGAGGAAATGTCGTGGGCTTCCTTCATTTATGGCTGCGTTCTGTGAAGAACGGGAGAATTACTGGAAGGTCATCTTCTCCCTTCTCCCTCTCTCCCTATCCTGCTCTTCTTTTTTTTCTTCCCTTTTCCACTCCTCTGAAGATCTAAAGGGGTCTGAAACCAAGCCACAGTTTGTCTGACATGAATATCAAGCACACCTTAGTGCTTTCTGTGTCTGAAATTATCAGTTGCTGAATCCATCTCCACGCTGGTTCGTTTGCCCCATGCCACACCGGGATGCAGAGTGTGGTATGACAGCGGGACCAATGGGCCTCTCCGCATGGAGACCTCCCCGCACGCACCTGTGCACGCACTGCCTGCCCCCCTCCCCATCTGTGGGAGACAGCGAATGCGTGTTGATGGAAGAGTTAGTGCATTATCGGCTCCGGGAGGATTAGATCAGATTGTCAGGTTCGGAGATGCGCTGTGATTTGACATAAGCTCAGGAAAATCTGCCCCTGGAGCAGGCATGCTGGAGAGCCTTCCTCTCACAGCCAGCTTCACCAGCAGCCTCTGCCACTGCCCCACACCGGGCCTTAACAAGCTCTTTCTTCTCAACCTGAGGCTGAAGCTCCAGGGCCAGCTCCCAAGTGGAAAGGCCCTTGTCTGGGTCGGGAACCCTATTTGCTTGCTGAGTAGGATGGAGCTGGAATGATGGGAAAGTCAGTGTGATGCCTGACGGGGGAGCCTTCCAGATGGCCACGTGGGAGCAGAATTTAGGGGTGGCCAGGAGAGTGAGGCTCTGCAGAACCAGGATAGCAAAGAGAAGGGCAGAGAGTTGGGGCCCTGCTTCTGGAGTCCTTATGCCTGGCACCTCAGGCTTCAGGGAGTGTCAGGGGAAGGAGGACAGGGACCAGGAGATCTTCAGAAGCCTTAAAACCGGCCTGGGCCAGGCTCTGTGGCTCATGCCTGTAATCCCAGTACTTTACGAGGCCAAGGTGATCACAAGGTCAGGAGTTCAAGACTAGCCTGGCCAACATGGTAAAACTCCGTCTCTACTAAAAATGCAAAAGTTAGACGGGTGTGGTGGCGGGTGCCTGTCATCCCAGTTACTCAGGAGGCTGAGGCAGGAGAATCATTTGAACACTGGAGGCAGAGGTTGCAGTGAGCCGAGATTGCACCACCGCACTCCAGCCTGGGCAACAAGAGCAAAACTCCATCTCAAAACAAAACAAAACAAAACAAAAAACCCCACCTGACTCAAACCTGTAACCTCCCACCTAGAAACAGCGAGGGTAGGGAACAAGAATGCATCCCCTGGCAGTCATGACCATGGCTGGCACTCTTTACCCCATGGCCCGACCCGGACCACATCACCCAAACCTGGCCTTAGTTTCCCAGACTTGACCACAGCCCCCAAGCCTCCTCTAATCCTAGCTACCCTCACAACCCTGACCAACCCACCCGTCGCTTTCAACCAGCCAGGATGCTGCTCTGCACAAGGAGGCAGTGAATTCTGTGCTGGGCCCCCAGTAGGACAAGAAGGTGACTGTGTATCCTGCTTCACTCCCCAAGAAGACACCAAGTGGAAAGAGGGGTGTGGCTGTGGAGGCATATGGGTCTGAAACCTGGCTCTGCTACCCTCTTGCTGTGTGACCTGGGTCTCTGAAACAACATCCTCATCTGCAAAATGGGGATAATCGTGGTACCTGCCTCATGATATTTTTGTGAGGATGAAATGGGATTGTGCAGGTGGCACCTGGCACCTGGAATGTTGGCTGTCATTACAGCCAATAAGACAGCCATGCATAACAGCAGCCACACCCGTGCCCCAGCCTGTCACTAGTGCAAATGGGAGTTCCCGTGAGTGGGCTGAGGCAGAGAGGGAGCCGTTCAGGCTTTGGGGAGTGGATGCTGGAGAGGGTAAGAGTAAGGGAGGTCTAGGGAAATAAGTTAAGTGTTCTGGCTAGCCCGGGGCTGGACAGACCTAAGTAGCCAAATGGAAATTAAACTGTGCTGAGCTCCAGCAATGTGCCAGGTCGCTTCACATGACCCAGTCCCTTTCAGTCCCACTTTACAGATGGGGAGGCTGAGGCTCCAGGAGGACTCAGGGTCACCAGTGCCTTTCTTTCTTCACCTTTCTTCCTTATTGGCAGAGCTGGGACTTAAACCCTGACCTGAATGACTCCCATGTTGATATTCTTTCCACCACAGCCACAGGCCTGGAACCTTGGTCATCCCTATCCACATATGACTGAGACCGGAGCTTCTCAAAGTTCCCTGGGCCCTGGAATTCCCTGGGGATTTCATTAAAAGGCAGATTCCTATTTAGTGGGTCTGAGGCAGGGCTAGGATTCTGTGTGTCCTCCCAGCTCCCAGGTGATGTGGATGCTTCTGGTCAGGGGACCACACTTTGAGGAGCAAGGCCTTCAGAGACCCACCCTCATGAGATTTTGAAACCCGAGCTCTGCCCCAAACCCCAGACCTGTCCCAACCTGTAGCTCAGCTAAGGCAGGGACCGGAGCATCTCGTTGTGCCTCAGCCCCCCTCAAAGGGACCAGAGCATGCAGGGAGAGGAAGGCGAAGGGACTGAACTCCCTTTTTGCCCCTGCAGACAAAAGTGTGATCCGCAGCCTCCCTCCCTGAGACCACAGAGGAGGTGGGTGGGGGTAAGAATCCGCCTCACTTTGCACTTGGCAAGCCAGGGTGTGCCCTGGCAGGAAACCACAGTGGCCTAGTAGAAGGGACCCCATTTTCAAATTCCCTCAAAGGCATCCCAGGGACCAGCAGGGGCCCTGCACTTCCCTTTGGAGTCCACCCTAACCGTGGGGCAGCCAGAGAGTCTGGCAACAAAGACAGGTGCCACCTTGCTGTGAGTGAACATTGTCTCTCAAGCAGGGCCTCTGGATGACAGTCACTTGTGTCTGAGGACCACACTTGAAAAGGTCACCGCCTTCAGGCTGATTTTGCACGTGGCTGGCTTTTAAGTAGCTGTCACTTGGCTAAGCGGCCTCCTCCCTCCACAAAAAGGATTTTCTCCCAATTGGAATTTAAAAACCCAGCAGCAATGAAGTCGTGGATGGCAGCATTTCCTGCACAGGTTGGGGTGAGGGAGAGGCAGATGGAAACCACGGGGCTCCAGGAGGAGGAGGGGCTGGAGGGGCCAGGTGATTCTTTTTCATCCACTGCTTGTTGGTTTTTAATAAAGAAGTCAAACTCGGTTTGTAGATTTCCCATTAGGGGACAATAAGCTTTTGTAGAGCGAGCCGCTGAATTAGAACTAATAGCAAATGCAGCGCCAAGATCCAGGGAAATATCACCGCTAATAAGTTTCTGCCTCATGCTCTGTCACTGACATTCTCCGCACCGTTTCGTGCAGCCAGGCTGAAGCTTAAATGTATAAGTATATGGGGCACTCGCACCCGCACCAGGGACGGGGAAGATGCCCAGGCATGCAGCTGGGGCATTGGACATCAGGGGAATCCTGAGACTACTGGGTATCTGGGGAGAGGGGCAGGTCAGCGTGAGCCAGGGTGCCATCCAGAGCCAAGGGACAGATTGGAGAAAGAGAGGATCACTCCTTTCTGGGCACCCACAATCTTAGCAGGCTGAGATTCTCGGATGTCCCAAGGGGTGTGCAGCCAGATAGCATGCCCCCATCTTTCATGGCTGCTCCATCAGCAGAGACTCCAGCAAAGGGGGCTTCGTACAGGATCCTTTCCCTCTAAGAGCTCGCAGTTCCACGAGAAGCCAGGCCCTGTCATGGAACTCCTATTTGCACTAGCAAACAAACAGGAACTGCCGAAGACTGTAGCATAAAGACTGGCCAGCAGTGCCGGGACTCAGCCTGACTCCTGAGCTCTGCACTGGACTCTTGGGAAAGGGGAGATGGTCATGAGTCAAGTGGGCTGGGGAGGCTTCCTCCAAGAAGTAAGCAGGGAGGAATTCTTGTTGAGAGATTGCAATTCTTGTCCAGTGAGGATAAGAGTATTAAAGGGCAGGAAAGCCTCTTCTCATTGAAGAGGAAGGGCCGCGGTGTGGAGGAGTTGGGGGATGCGTAGGAGGAGGCAGAAGCTGCCCACCCCACCTTGCCATTCCCAGCCCCTCAGCCAAACACCATCCTCTGGCCACTGGCGAAGGCTGGGCTAGAAGAGCTATTGCGTTAGAACTGACAGGAGTGGGGCTCTGGGCCAGGGGTGGCCCAGGGGCTGGAAGAGCCGTTGTTCTTGTGTGCAAGGAGGAGTCTAGCTGTACCTGCCAGCAGCCAGCCCAGGGCCAGAGTTTGGGCTCTGGGAACCCCCGACCCTGACCTGCCCCTGCATACTTCGGTATCTTTGGGGAGAGTCCTAGAAGCTTTTGTCATCATCCTGGTGGACCTACACAGGGGTCCAAGTGGGCATTCTCAGCATGGGAGCTGGGGGTGTGAGTGCTGGAGTGAGCTTGGGGCTCAGCTGGAGGACCAGCGGGGAGGCTGGGGACCTGGCAGCTGTTGGCAGTCCCAGCTGCTGCCGGCACACTCCCTCTCCCTGGGCCTCCCCATCCCTTCCTGAGGCCTGCATGTTTCCCCAGGGCTGGTCCTACCTCCTAGAACTGTAGCCTGCCAGAGGGTTACCTGACTGCCTGTGACACCTCACCTGGCTCTGGTTATACGGAGAGGCCAGAGCTCTTTAGTGCCAGCCTGGCCTAGCCTAACTCCTTGGTGCCCACCTTAGACATCCGGCCAGCCACCTGCCTCCCTGGCTCCTGCAACCTGTCTGTTTTCCTTCCAGGATGAGAATGACAACCCTCCCACCTTCAGCAAGCCCGCCTACTTCGTCTCCGTGGTGGAGAACATCATGGCAGGTACAGGCTCAGGTCGGGGGGTGGGGGGCACATGAAGGTAGGCAGCCAGCAGTCACGGCACCCAGGATGTGCAGACTCCGGCTCTGCACACAAATTCTGAGAGGTCCATGGCTTTCTCTTTCCCCAGCCAAGCTCCTTGACAAATCGGGGAGCCTTTGGAGACATCTAGTTACCTGCCAGCTAACAGCTAGTTACAGAGCACCTACTATGTGCAGGTGCTGTGCTGGGCACTTGGTTCCTGCTCTCCTTTAACTATAGTCTAGTGGAGAAAGAATAATGATCCATGATTAATTAAGCAATCTTGATTAAACAGTCCCAAGTGTGCAGAGGGCTCTGAGACTACAGTACTGAGAGGCAGGTCCCAGGGGTCATGATTTCAGAGAAGTGGCCTTACAGCATGACATGTGTTCCTATGTGAGGATGCAATTGACAGGCTAATCTCTGGGCCAGGCTCAGGTTGCAGGGCTCAGCTTGCAGACCCAGCACCACCAGCTGTACACTCAGGTTCCAAGGGATCTGTTCTGCCCTCAGGGCAGGCTGGCAGCTTCACCCTTACCCTCAGAGCAAATGATCCCAGCAAGGAAAACACCCATGTCAGGAACTGCTGCGGTGGCTGAAGGAGATGGGAAGGTTGGAGTCAAGGACAATAGAGTCAGAGATGCTGGAGTCATGGATGGTGGAGTCAGGGACACTGGAGTTAGAGACACTGGAGTCAGGGATGGTAGAGCCAGGGATGGTAGAGTCAGGGATGGTGGAGCCGGGGTGGTGGAGTCAGGGGTGGTGGAGCCAGGGGTGGTGGAG